GGGGCTAGGGCGGGGCTCCTCCCGTCCTCTTTTTTGATTGTTGAAATATGGTAACCCTAATGTTCAGCCTCAGCTCCAGTGTATTATTATTTAAAATGTAAACAACAGAAGTTGCCCATACAAAACATTCTAGGCATCCTAACCATCAATTAAACTTACAGTGCCATAATGCTAATCATACAGCACCAGGCCAGGCAGCAGCTCTGATTTGTTAGCCTTCACATGTCCATTGTGGAAAAGCTAAAATGTGGTTCTGAAGAGAACAGTGAAGCTCTAAATATTTTCCACAGCTTCCTTACTGAATTAGCCTTTAGGAACAGGAAATTAAATGCACCATCATCATCCACGCTGTGCCATAAAATACACATACTTTTCCTAATGAACACAATAGCTTTTCCACTGTGAATGTAAGGACTGGTCTACACTAGCGGGGGGGATCGATCTAAGATATGCAACTTCAGCTACATGAATAGCATAGCTGAAGTCGAAGTATCTTAGATCGATTTACCTTGGGTCCTTACGGCGCGGGATCGACGGCCGCGGCTCCCCCGTCGACTCCGCTACCGCCTCTCGCTCTGGTGGAGTTCCGGAGTCGACGGGGAGCGCGTTCGGGGATCAATGTATCGCGTCTAGATGAGACGCGATACATCGATCCCCGATAGATCGATTACTACCTGCCGATCCGGTATTCAAGACATACTGAAAGTCCAGAACCTCGCTGGTGGAAACTGACGTAGCTCCCTGGAGCTCATCAGTTTCTACCAGCTGAGGATCCGATGGAGTTTACTTCTGAAGTGTTATCACTGTTTATTCCTAATGAACAAATTCACCATAATTCCATCGGGATACAAAGTAAAAGAAAAGGGATTGGTGTATCTTACTGGGTTCCGTGCTGGATTTACTTTCTAACAAAGAATCCAGTCCATCAAAGTTATTTTGTAGCCCTTTGTTAATACAATCAATCTTTCTCTCTCTCTGATGAAGTTTCATTACAAGATCTGCTATTGCAGCCAGGATTTCCTTCTCATTCTCCACAAATTCCTATAATGAGACAAAGTTGAAAAATCATTTTCTTGTAAAGACAAAGAAATCACAAAACATTAGGACCCTTTTGTTTTGCATTTCCTGACTTGTCATAGATTGTCCAAACACTAATTGTATAGCTCTGCTGGGTTGGCATACCCACTCCTGAGATCCAGAGCCAACTCTTATGCAGATTTTTCATGAGTTTCCTATTGCAGGTTGAGTTTTAAAAAAATTTAAAGAAAGATCACAACCTTTAGGTACGTTTGAACCTAGGATGAGGGAAATGGAATCAGAACTAATGTAGGACAAAGAAATTTACAATAAATATTTTTATGCAGAGCTAGAACATTTCTAATTTCCTGTATTCTACCCTGTGGCAGAGTACTGGTAGCAGAGTATTTACAGTGCCAGATCTTCTATTATTCTTTTTTGCATGGTAACCAAATTATTTTCAATGCTAAAAAATACCTTGTCAACAAATGTTGAAACCCACCTTTTGAATGCTACTGTCCTCTGACCATCCTTTCAGAAAAAGCTCTAAAATAAATTTAGTTTTAAAATGTTAGCAGACTGTCAGAGAAACAAACATTCTAAAATAGTCTTCCTTTTCAAATACTGGGAATATGATAATTTTTGTTTTTAAATAGCTGAACATTTCCTTTGATGACATGTTACTCACGATGAAGGACTGTCAGATCACTCAGAATTTTTATTGTTGTTGATTTGTGGTTTTCGGCTTCATGGCTCATTGTCAAAATATCCGCTTTCATCTGTGCAGTGCACTGCAGAGAAAATCATTGCAGGTAAGTAAGTATTTGTGTTTGGTCTTTCCTTCCTGATCTCTTTAGCAATTTTTGTGACCTACAGATACACAGAGGGTGGTGTATTCCCCAGGACAAAAAACTCTTTCCATTGTTACACTTTTCCTCAACATCAGGTATCCATTTCACTTTCCAGAACAACCACATTCATGATAACCAAAATCAGTGAAATCTCAGGATCAGATCCTCAGCTCTAAACCAGTCAGTCAATGCAGCTGTGCTGATTTACACCCTGTGGCTCTGGCACTCACTCTTCACTCGCCGTTTAGTTTCTTTGTTGTACTTCAGGTACCAATAGCTGTTGTTGGAGTTGAAACTGATTTTCTTCTTTCTGTAGTTCCTTTGCTACATCATCAGCAGTAGAGGACATAGAACAAGGGTGGGCAAACTACAGCCCCCGGGCCACATCCTGCCTGCCAGCTGATTTAATCTAGCCCTCGATCTCCCGCTGGGGAGTGGGAACTGTGGCTTGCACGCACATGCTGCAGCTCCCGGAAACAGCAGCATGTCTCCTCTCGGGCTCCTATGCGTAGGGACAGCCAGGGGGCTCTGCAAGCTGCCCCCGCCCCGAGAGCCACCCTCGCAACTCCCATTGGCCAGGAACTGCAGCCAATGGGAGCTGCAGGGGCGGTGCCTGCAGACAGGGCAGCACGCAGAGCTGCCTGGTCACGCCTCTGCATAGAAGCTGGAGGGGGAACATGCTGCTGCTTCCGGGAGCTGCTAGAGGTCAGTGCTGCCCAGAGTCTGCACCCCTGAGAGCCCTTCCTGTGCCCCAACCCCCTGCCCCAGCCCTGATCCCCCTCCCGCCCTCCAAACCCCTTGGTCCCAAGCCTGGAGCACCCTCCTGCACCCCAAGCCCCTCATCCCCAGCCCCACCCCAGAGGCTGTACCCCCAGCTGGAGCCCTCACACCCCCTCGTGCCCCAATCTCCTGCCCCAGCCCGGAACCCCCTCCTGCACCCTGAACTCCTCATTTCTGGCCCCAGCGAGAGCCTTCAACCCCTCCTGCACCCCAACCCCAATTTCGTGAACATTCATGGCCCACCATACAATTTCCATACCCTGATATCATGGGCCACCTGTGACATAGAGCAACCTGAATCTGGGTGTCAGAATGAACAGACCATCTTGAAATTGTTCCTATACTGAGCATCAAGGAGAGGGATAACTGTACTATGGTAAAAGGGCTTTCTTTCTGAAGAAGGCTTATGTTTATATCAGGGAAAATAAATTATAAGGTCACATTTTCAAAGTGCCTCCTAAGTAGCATCTGTAATATTAGTGCATGCAAATACAGGCAACTGCACTTGTAAAACCAGGCTTCTGTGCATTCGAACAGGGGCACATACAAATACTACACACAATTCAGAAAGCCCTTTGGAAATTTAGCTCATTGTGTCTAATGAAGGTGTAGTTTCAGCTTTGAGTTGCAGCCTTAGATCAGCAATCAAGACTTTGCTTTCACAATTGTCTAATATGCTCAGATCTTTTCTGGAGAAGGAATTCCTCTATTCTTGTAGGCTAGTTTGACACCTGGCACAGGACCTAGCAATGGAAGACTTAGGGTAACCTTTCCAAAAATATCTAAGAGCCTTAGGAGCCTAAGTCCCATTTTCAGAAACAACTCAGGCACTTATGAGCCTAAGTCTATTGACTTTCAATTAAAATTGAGCTCTTAAATGCCTAAAGGAATGTCTAGAGCTGGAAGATGTAAATTCTAGCTCGAGGAAACGTAAGTGGCACTCTGATAGAGCTAGTGCGGTAAAAACAGAAGTGTAGCCACGGCGGCGTGCGGGGCTAGCCACCCCAAGTACAATCCTATCTGAGACCACAGGTATGCATGCCGGATGGCTAGCTCCTCCCGCTGCTTGCACCACAGCAGCTACACTTCTGTTTTTAGTGTGGTAGCTTGATCACAGCTAGTGTGGCCATGTCTCCTCAAGCTGGAATTCACACCTCCAGCTCAAAGTCGCTTCTGACATGGAACTAGGCACTTTTGAAAACTACCCTAACTCTGAAAAACAATAAGGCGGCAACAAATGCTTAGCCAGGATAGAAATGACTAATCATGTCATCACCCGAGTCCAGCGCTGGATCCATCATGGAAAATATAGGGATTCCTAGAGTCCCTGAAAGGAAATATACCTGGAAAGCTGTACCTTCTGTAAAGTCAAAACAAGTCAGCTTTCCTGTGATCTTTGTTGCAGAGTGGTGGGAGGCACTGTTAACTCTCTCTGGGCAGTAACCACAATGAATCCCAGTGTTTCTCACCTCTCAGCACAAAAAGAGCACCTAGTCCATTTCCTATCACTTAGTGGGCTTGGGTTTTCTGGCACACGGTGCTCCGGCCACTGCTCCAGAATAAAAGAAAGAGCGAAAATGGCTGTGTAAGTCAACAGGGAGGAATGTGGGACTGTCTCCCTTGCTGCAATACCAAACAGCTCAGGCCTCTTCTATGCCTCAGTTTTCACCCAGTCTTTCACAGCTAGCAGGGAAGCCTTTCCCTATATACCTGACTGGATGCACCAGAGTGTTTTTTCTACTCTATGATGAAAGATCCCTTCACAGACAAAATGCCAAAGGGACAAATCCTGCCCTTAGATGTTCCTATGTGTCTCCCAACGAAGCTACCGGGAGCCCCACAGGTGCATCAGAAGGCAAAATTTGGCTCCTATATTGCATGCTGAAGCATTTATAGAGTTAATTCTGTTTCATCATGCTCCAATTCTGTTTTTCCCTGTGAAAAGAAAATTGAAGAGAGACCTGCACGCTGACAAGCTGTGCTGTAAACCATCGGTATACTCACTAATTTCAGTCTGCAGTTTTCTGTCTTCACAATGTCGAGCTTCCTGTCGACCTCATAGATGTCCCTCTCTAGCAACTTCAGAACTTCCGTATGATCTTTCAACTGGTCAAATGCCAAGTCACGCTTTATTCTTAATTCATTCTTCAGCTCAGCCTATTAATAAATAAACCCTTCATTATTTTGCTTCATAGTAATTGATCTTGCATTTGGATTATAATTGTTGTAATCTAATAAATTCACAATAATAATAATAATAACTTTTCACATATGTGGCACCTTTCGCTGAAATATTTCAAAGCGCTTTACAAAATGAATCTCGTCATCTCCATCTTACACATTAGGGAAAAGAGGCACAGAGGGATGAAGTGGAATTGCTCAAGGTCAACAAGCCAGTGGCACAGTTGGGAATAGAATCCAGGTCTCCTGATTCTGTCTCACACACTAACCATTGAACCTTACTTCCTGTCTATTTAAATCAGACATGGGGTCACATTGATGAGCTTAATGACACACACACACACACAACATATTTCTATTGATGAAGGCTTTGGTGGTACACAAATGTTTTGAACACAGATTCTGGGTAAGTTACTGCCTATTTAAAGATACTTGGAGAAGGAGCACTTCCTCCTCAAATAAGGAATAGCATCTGTGCCTGTGGGCCAGCAACCACAGAGCTCCATCCTTGCAGTATCAGACGAGCCAGGCACAAACCTTGCGGTTTTGTTTATGACTCATACACCTTTCTTTAGTTCTGTGTCTTTCACACAAACCACCTGTGACTCTGAATTTCTCTCTCCTTACGCTGTTATCTATTGATATAGTCAAGATATGCAATGAGCTGGAGAGATCATGAGACAAAGTTACCGGAAGGTTTTACCAAGGAGCAGCAAAGGCTCTTGCATGAGCAGTGGTCAGTTTCTGTACAGGGACAGAGCTCACACAGGGCCCAATACTGCAGCCCCTTCCTCACTCCAGTCATCCTTTTAAATCCATTGGGACAGCTCATATGACTAAGGGTTACAAGATCAAGGTCAGTTTTTTGCATGACAAATGGCAGTGCTGCTCTACGTCTGAATCAAGCTATGCGAGAATCTCTGTGCATGATCAGTTCCACAGCAACTATAGGGAGATGGTACTGGAAGGGTGGAGGGAGATCATTAAAAAGCACAAGAACAGAGAGGAAGAAAACTGATTTAGGAAACTTTAACAAATAATGTTAAGCAAGGTTTGAACCATTACCATGATCTTCTTGAGTTTACCAATCATCTTGACTGACCGATCAATGGATTTTGTCAGTCTTGTCTCGTCATCTTTTAGTTCTACAAATCAGGAAAAGGTTTTTTTAGACTACAGGACTAGATGTTCCATCAACAAGTGATCAACCGTATAAGGATGTTATTATTCATTATTAATGTTCCAGTAGTGTCCAGATGTCATAATCCAGCTGGTGCACAAAGCCCTCAGAGCTTCACGGTACTTTACAGTTCATCTGAACTATGGTAGACAGCTCTGGTACAGTCAGACCTCTTATTTATTATTTATATATCTAATTTAAAATTATTTTTTCCAAATGTACAAAAATATATCAAAATACCAGATTCACCATAATACACAAAGTAAGTAAAGAGGATTAGGATAAAGATCGGGGAGAGGAAGCGAAATATCTATCTTCAGGGTCTATATTAATCTTAGTCTATATTAACCTCTACAAAGTCAACTCAAATTACTTTGAATTTTTCAGGCATTCCCCTTCTGTGGAACGCCAATTGCTCATTAGTTTCAAGGTCACCCATATCACCAAGTCTCTTTCTAAGACAGAAGCAGAAAGCTTCAAAGTGCCTCGGAGTTATTTAATACCTACCTGAGACTATTTTTTTCAAGTCTTCATATTTTTCATGCTTCTCTTCCAACTCTTTCCGTCTTTCTTCTATGAGAGGGATGCTCAGAATTAGTTGTTGTTCTTTTTGATATATATCTTCAGTTTTAGCTTGGACATCATCCTTTAGTGAAAATAAATGTTAATTAATGATCTATTAAAGTGGGCATAATCGTTGTAACAAAGGAAGACAAAATGAATAGATTAACTGGAAACTGCAGAGCTGAGAGACATAGCTTTGAAAATGAAGAGTGGCAATTTGAATATCCAGAATGAGGAGACAGCCTAAGTAATTCTTTTGACATTACACATTGTGAATCTCCAGCCATATTACAAAGTTATTTAAATAGAAGCAGTGAATTCAGGTGCGTGTACTGCAGGGCCGGCTCCAGGCACCAGCGGAGGAAGCAGGTGCTTGGGGCGGCCCATGGAAAGGGGCGGCACGTCCGGGTAACTTGTGCCTCTTCCTGGAGCGTCTACTCTTTCATACACTTCTCCAGTTGTGCACACCCTAGTCATTTCAGTCATTCTGCAGTCTCTGTTCACTTATTTATCTTATTATAGTCTTCTTTGTCCGTAAAGCAACGTGAATACCCATGGCTCTAACCTGCTGTCTCTCCTATTGCGGTGCTTTATGCACCCAGAGTATATTCCTGTGTCCATACAAGTATTGCCAGTACACCAGGGCTGGCTCCAGCTTTTTTGCCGCCCCAAGCGGCGAGGGGGGTGGGTGGGTGGAAAGCCGCAATCAGCGGCACTTCGGCGGCCGCTCTACCGGGCCGCTTCATTCTTCGGCGGCAATTCGGTGGCGGGTCCTTCGCTCCGAGAGGGACTGAGGAATCCGCCGAATTGTAACACCAAAATGATAAAAAGTGAAGACACAGGAAGAAATGAAGACAGTTAAAGAAGAGAAAAACCAGAGAGAACCACTGAAGGAGAAATAATAGTTACATTCATTGTGTGATGTTAGAGCAACCCTATTAAAGACATTAGGTTAGGAGTTAAAGAGCATTTATCATACGTTATGTATGTTTTTGAACAGCACAGCTGCCAGGAAATGCACACAAGGAGAGATCCAGTATGTAATTATTTTAGATCCATACACACATTGAAAGAGAGAGAGAGAGAAGAGGAGGCTTGGGATATTTCATACATTAAGGATGTCTGATTTATCCTATTCTGAACCATTAGACTGATGGCTGAGAATCATACAACCAGGAAAGGTTACCTAGAGACAGAGGAAATGCCATATACACCCGATGGGAGAAGTGCCTGATGTTTCTGGAAGCTTCAGTCAGTTCTCATTCAGAGTCTCACATTGTCCTCCTTTCTCTTTGAAGGAGGGCTGCTGGATGCTATAATAGAGCACTCAGAGGATTAGCGCACCATAGGACCAAACTGCCCTGCATTACGCCTCACACAACACCAGTGATTTCAATGGATTTACAGCTCTGTAACTCAGAACAGAGTTTGGCCCATCATGTCAGCAGCAAGACTAAATATTTTCAGAAAGCCTGTGCTGTTTATCTAAATATTGTGGGACAAATTTCACACTGATCGACTCCAAGCAGCTGCTTCAAAGTTAAGGTCCTATATATCTGTTTTTACATTTTTTTATTTCACTTTTTATGGGTACTTTTTCTGCATGGAATTCAATTTGATAGATATGAGTACATACATATGGAAAAGGACACACATGTGGAGGGCATGCCACAATTTAGTAGCAGTATGAGTTGTTCAATCAACTTCCTGTACTAGATGATACATCAGCCACAAAACTCGGACTGATGCCTTTGTTGTTGGTTTGTCTGGAAGACTAGTGAGAAGGAAACAGTTTTATTTTATTTCTCACTTAGATCTCCTCTAGCAGTTCAGAGAACGGGTGGGATTAAGGCAGTTTAAACCAAACAATGATCAGACTTCTTTGCCTTTGGCATCTAGCAATCAAGTAACTGTGGGAAAGCTCCCTGCATGGAATCCACCACTTCATTGCTCTTATTTTCAGTGCACACAAAGCCTTGTACCAGTTGCAAAGGAAGACTTTATCCACTGCTAGTAAGTGCTAAGGGCCCGATTCAAAGCCCAGAGACATCAGTGGGCTTTGGATCAGGTCATAACTGCTTAGCAAGAAAAAGGAAATCCAAAAAACCCCAAGCCAAACCCAAACCTCCCCTGTTCTAGGAGAGTCAGTACAGCATTCAAAGAGTTAATATGGCACTGAATCACTTTTTCTTGAAACTATTAGTAATCATGGGACAAATTATTTGCTAGTGTCAATTGGTGTAGCACCATTGAAGTCAATAGAGTGGTGCCAATTGACACCAGCAAAGAAGGTCTCTCCATTTAAACTACTCTTTTCAAGAATGTTTTTTAAAATGACATTTACCTCAAGCCATTGTATGTCTTCTATTAAGCTGTTTTCATACTTCTCGCATTCAGCTTCCCTTTTATTTACATCATCACTAAGGTGTTTGAACTGTTCTTCAGCCTGCAAAATTTCTTTTTGGAAATACTCATTCTGGTTGCAGAAAATAAAATTAACAGGGACAATCATTTCTGCAGTACACACAGGCTCACTTGCAATATTAAACAATAACTGGGCTGAGTACAATGGCTGCAGTTGTCATTTGAAACACAGTGCTGTGTGATCATAACTGCTTTACAATTTTATTAATCATCTGTTAAAGCCAGATTCTCAGGTGGCGTAAACTGACACAGCGCCTTCGAAATCATAATTTACACCAACTGAGGATCTGGCCCTTAAAGTTTAACCACTTTGCCAAGAACAGCATGAAAGGTAGAGGCTTACAGTGAATAGGCTTTGTTGTAATGCCAACTGGTTAACATACCTCTGCAATTAGCTCAGCATGACGTTTTTTACCAGTCTCAAGTCTTACATTCATTTCATTCATGAATCTCTCCTCTGTTATCCACAAGGCCTCCTTCTTCTTTGCTAGGTGAAGTTGTTTCCACTGAAGCAAAGCTCTAGTGGTAAGTACACAAACAGTATCACCCATTACATGACATTGCATTGTAATTGATTAGGAAATCAGAGCTGCATAGCATGTGTAAAGTAACAAAGCAGACTTGATTCTGAGAGGCACAAACAGAATAAATTCACAGGTTTCAAGGCCAGAAGGGACCACTGTGATCATCTAAGTCTAACCTCCTGCATAACACAGGCCGTAGAGTTTCCCAAAAATAATTCCTAGAGCAGATGTAGCCATGCAATGGGGTAATGATGTGGATAATAAAGAGGATGGAACAATATGGCCAGAGAGGTTCAGTTCTTACCTCTGTAAGGAAAACAGAGTCGCAAACAGTTGGGAGGCACTCATGGAGAAAAAGCCCTAAGAGAAGTATATAGAATAGGCATCGGCAACCTTTGGCATGCAGCCTGCCAGGGTAAGCCCCCCTGGCAGGCCGGGCCAGTTTGTTTACCTGCCGCGTCCAAAGGTTCGGCTGATCGCGGCTCCCACTGGCCGCGGTTTGGCACTCCAGGCCGATGGGGGTGGTGGCAAGCGGTGGCAAGCACATCCCTC